AAATTAAACTGTCGCGCGTGGCATATAAGTAATAATTAGCCCTACCGTATGTTATTGGTGTTTTAGAGTATTTCGGATGTCACTGGTTTGATTCCCAACATAGTAAAATATTTGTTTTGATTATACAGTTATATCAAGGCTGAGAGATAACAGCAAGATGAAGTCCAATTTAATTAAGGAAAATTTTCGATGAAATCTCGACGTATAACAGTTTTTCAACACCACTTCCTTGAAAAAAACCACATTGCGTGATTAATACTACACTAATATTATAAAGAGATTAACCTTGTAAGTTTGTACGTTTGGATGTTGGGCTTAACTGAAACTACGAATTCAAGATTAAGGTACGTTACCTTCGAGTACTATATTCTATTTTTTATTTCGATAAAATATATTTACTGTTAGAAATTATAATAACTTTAATTGAGTCGGGAAAAAATTAGCCATCGAGTTGCTTTAATAAACACTGTATGTCCATTAAAAAATAAATATTAGACTTGAGTTCTAACTTATCTAAAAAAAATCTTCTATCTTCCAGCAAATTTAGACAGAATAAAAGTAATTATAGATCAATTAATTGTTATAACAAATACGAGTATACCTACCATATTTCAGGCTGAAAATGGTTTGAATTATTTAGTACCAAAAAAACCTAGTATAAGTGTTATTATTTTTTTAGTAAACAATCTCTTTGAGTGCTTTACTTTTAATTTTTTCATTCGCTTTCATCGTTTATCTCTGCGATATATCGGCATTTAGACTTAAATGGCGACTTAACTAAAATTAATTTCAATTCTTACGATTTATTCATGTAATTGCCATTTATTTATTAGGTAACTAGCAGTTCATCATGGCTTTGCTCAGGTTCATCCTTTGCTCAGGTTCATCCCTGGGTACGTTTTAAATAGATATAAAACAAATAATAAGTAGATAGACAGTGTTAGCCATATAATTTTTTTTTTTGAGAATTTTTCTGAAGTTTTAATAGTTATTCTGCTTTTTGGGACGAAGATAAATCCAACAAATCCAAGATCATAGAAATCGGTCCAGTTAATATTGAGTTATAAATGGTAAAACTAACCTGACTTTGTTTTATATATATATAGATTTAATATGAAAATTTGCATTTGTTATTCAAAATTTTAATAAATAATTTCATTTTACATGCACGGAAAAATATTTAATTGTATTTTAGGGTGTGGGTCTGTTTCTCCATTGACCATGCTTGCTGTAATGCATTCGAAACGTTGAGAGCCAGTTCTATTAATGTATATTTATATTATGCATAAATCTAAGAAAGTAAATAAAGTGCAGATTATAGAGAGAGTCATTAAACGCTTCTCGGAAGAAGAATACGAGAACATCGTACACGGAGCTTGTAGAGCAGTAAATAAAGCTAAACATAGCTGTCAATATCAAAAAATATCCATCCCTTCGCATTGAAGGGAGGCCCGTGCCCAGCAGTAGTACGTTAAAAAGGGCCAAGTCCCTAATATGTCAATGTAATTGGTGTTTTTATTAATGCATAAGCATCATTTCTAAAAAAACTATATGTTTTTAATGGAATTTTCAATATTTCTCTTTTTCTTCAGTCTGAGTCTTTGTTTTCACTTTCTTCTATATACTCTCTTCCGCCTATACTTTAGTATGAAACTTTTTTCTATTTTTAATAATAATTTTAATTTAAAAAGGCCTAGTTGGAGTCCCTTTTGGATAACGAGGTTCCGTATCGCTTAACATATTATGACTATATTTGTAACTCAATACAAATATAGGCATAATAGGATTTTAATTCTATATTATGGTTAAAACTTCTCGCTGGTGTAAGTTTAAATAAAGTACCTGGGCTACCAAGCTTCGCTCGGGGTTTTTGGCCTAAAGTACAATTTTCTTCTTTTTTTTTAACTAAAAACTTGAAAAACTTGCGTGGAATAATGTAAAAGAAAATTGCATGAAAACTCAAAAACACGCGTTTTCTCAGACATAAGACAATTCTAGATCTATTTATCGCCTCCGATTCTCCCTGTATGCTAAATTTCATGAAAATCGTTGGAGCCTTTTCCGAGATTCAGATTATATGTATATAATTATACAAGAATTGCTCGTTTAAAGATATAAGATAATATTTCGTACTTTTTACCTACCTCAAGATTATTATATAAATTGATTGTGGCTAATTTTGCACATGATAATACACATTAGCCAATTTTGGAGCGATTTTCATGTTTTTTTTTGATGAGACCATAGGTATGGATCTATAATATTATAAATGATAAGAAAATATCAAGCACTAAAGTTGTTATGAAATGGTATAATTTAATTGATTTTGAAGTCGGTGTACATTTTTAGTTAAAAAGTACATCATTGTTTTTAATTTCTAATTCAAATTTAAAGGTACCTTATTCTCATTGAGGTTTATTATCAATAGTTTATTAAATTAAAATAAACCTCTGTCGGGATCCACCCTTAATTTTTTTTAGCCACTATAATAATTTTTGAAACTTTATTATATAAAACTTTAATTCATTACAATGTTTTTTAGTTATTATATAGTTTTTTTTTCACCTAACTTAATCATAGAGTATGCATAAGGGAAGAAACGGGCCATTCTCAGCACAAGTATCCTCGGATTACTTACTGGGAAGACTCGAACACAAAATGGAAAGATGATTAAGAAATAAAAACTATTTTTATTTTTATTTTTTTTTTATGTTTTTTATCATAACATTGTTGCCTATTTAAGGATTTTTTATTTTAGCACACAAAAGTATTTTATCCCAATATTTATGGGAAATGTGTACATTTGTTGGCAATTAACTATGAAGTTTGATAATGGAAATGGATTTTCAATGTCTAATCGAATCGAAATTATATTTTCATTTACTGAAAATCAAAATATCTACGACCAGTTCGAAAACAAAATACTTGAGTTCTGAAAATAACTGCAAATAATTCAACAGGGCTGATATTTTTAATTTTTAGTTATGATAAAGTGAATTTGGTGCTGTAAGGAGTTTAGCTATATTAATTTTTAATTTATAAAACAAAAACGAACCTTTTAGGCGGAAGTTGAACGTAAATAAGGCTGTTGGGGAAACAAGTGTTCGGTCAAACGGATATTGTTAAGGATAACTGCTAAATCTTTTTATCCTCAATGAAAGGAAAAAATATGACATGATAACAGTTTTTAGATTTTATTATTTTGTTTATACGTTTTATATTAGCTTAAATTATTGTTCATTTTATTATTTTATTTATTTAATGAAAACATTAACAATTTATATATATAAATATATATATGTGTATATACAAACATATTTTGTATGTATATAAAATATTAAGATTAATATATTATATACATACACAATATGTGTTACATACATACAAAATATTAATATTAAGATATGTATTTCATTTTCTTACTTGTCCTTCCTTCCGTATGTGTGAGTATTTTTGTTTTAGTTATAACATAATATATGATGTGCACTGTTCAATAAGTCGACTTGAAGTTTAAATCTAATTATCTTATAGCAATGAAACTTAGTTATTTCTATACGTGTAAAATTGAAAGCCTTCTTTATTAGCCTCATCCATTATTTTTAACGTGTAAATAAATCGACAGGCAAACATTTTGAAATTGGTCAGATAGAAGTTTAAAAATATATTGCATAATCTATACATATAATAAATTTTGAGTGCAATCTGTACATTTAACATTTTTTTAAAAATATAGTCATTATTATCGATACAGAGGCCGAATCTATAGGTTTTAGATTTTTTGTCTGTCTGTCTGGGAACGCATCACGAGAAAACCACTGGACAGATTTTGATGAAATTTGGTATGATGATAGGTGGTTATTCGGGTCAACATATAAGATACTTTTAATGCGGGAAAATACGCGAATATTTGACGTCTTAAATAAAACTACCTTTTCGTATTTTTTCGCGGATTTATTCGAGACTTCGGTTATCAAAAATTAAAATAAATCCGCGAAAAACACCCGAAAAGATAGTTTTATTTAAAACTAGCGGACCCGACAGACGTTGTCCTGTCTACACGTCTTTAATTTGAAAATTTCAAACTTTTTTTAATATTTTTTTTTATGAAAATTATTATTCAAATTGTGAATCTAAACCATTCCCAGATTCCCTTGAACATACACAAAAAATTTCATCAAAATCGGTCCAGTCGTTTGAGAGAAGTTCAGTGACATACGCACTCACAGAAGAATTATATATATAAAGATATATCCTATGTTACATCATGGTGTTACTGTCACAATTTTAATTTACTTAATGTTTTAAACCATATGGTACAATAAAATTGCATGAAAACTACGTATTCGTTAATAAACTTTTAATAATATGGTGTTAAATATAAAATGAAACCTTCAATTAGAGTAATTTGCTTGTAACGACATTTATGTGATAGAATGAATAAAAGCTTTGAATATTATGAAACAAAAACGTATAGACTATTTAACTGTTTACTTACTGTTTTTTTATAATTATTATAATTTTTTTTTTGAATTTTCGCAATTTTTATGCCAATAATGAAAAATAATAGTGCGAATGCTGTTTAACATTTAATAAGCCGCCGACAAACTATTCTAGTTTGCCAGTACGTTTTCCAAAATGTTACTTATTTATTTTTATTTCTTTTATTATTTTCAAGCATATTTTGTAAATATGTAAAATTTATATTTTTTTATTATTCCAATTTAAACTATAACAAATGGCAATTTTTATAATGTTTTGGAATACCTATAATTTTAATAAATATTGGCATAACTTTAATATTATATTAGTCTATATTTTATAAATAAAAAATACATAAATTTGTGAATAAGAATTCATACTTATATTTTTATGTGTATAATGTTTTTATAATGAAAATAAAAATATATTTAAAATAATTATCCAAAATAATACTTTAAAAAATCAATTAATCTCTTTAATTATTAAATATATTCTAGTTACAGTAAAAAAATTTAACTTACATCAGTAATAGGTCCCGCCACCACTGTCAACGGCACACAGGTATCTACTTAAGGCAGGGCGGTCCATCGCCTTTTATATGCGCTGGGACGTTAGGCCGCCCGCCCACTGATTACATTCGTATAACATATAATAATATTTTACATTTGTATAACATACTAGCGGCTTACCATCACTTCGCTCGTTTGCGTCCCTAAGTGGGTGGTTTTCTTCACAATTTCATGAGATTTTTTTTATTTTTATGCGCATCTAAAATAACTATCTGAAAGTGTCTAAACATTAGCTATCTGCCAGTGAAAATCCCGTCAAAATAGGTACAACCATTTTGGAGATTAGCCGGAACAAACAGGCAGACAATAATTTTAAAGTTTTACATACATGCTTTCATATGCATTTAATTGATAAAAAGCTGTTATTTTGACATTACAAACAGACACTTCAATTTTATTTATTTGTACTTATAAATAAAAAGTGTCTAAATTGGGAACACATATTATGCTATATTTGTATAGATATATTAAATTTATTTTTTATGAGTTATAACTGTAGTTTGCATAAAGTATTTATTTGGTCTCATTTACTACTAGCAAGTCGCCCTCGCTCCGCTCGAGTTCGTCTCTAATTACTTTTTAACGTTTAGTTTAGATTTCTCAGACATGAGAATTTTTCCGCAGGAAAAAGTATTCTATATGTTAACCCGGATGACCAGCTTTCATCATACAAAATTTCATTAAAATTTGTCCAGTGGTTTTTCATGATGCGTTCCCAGACAGACAGACAGACAGACAGATAGACAGACAAAAATTCTAAAAACGATTGATTCGGCCTCTGTATCGATAATAATGACTATTTCTATAAGATTTTCCAAAAAATATTTAATGTACAGATTCGACCCAGAATTTTATTATATGTACTCGTATAGATAGAAGCAGATTTATATTTTGAAGTAACATTTCAAGAAAACGATATTAATTTTTACATACACATACATTGGTATGTTAATCAAAATGGTCGAACAAACAAAAGGACATTTGGTTCTGTAGGTTCGATTCCCGAGCCGACAAATAACATTTATAAAAGTATCAAAAAATGTTTTTGCATATTAAATTGCGCATTATATAAGCAGAATTCATTTTTTTATGAGAATAGGTATGCCTTGCCTGTTTCTAAAATATAAACATTACAGTGGTTTTGTGTAGGCTTTAATAATTTAATCAAGCAGTCAGGTGGTATAATTTATATATAAACTAGTTACATACTCTTGCTTTGCTCGGATGCGTCCCTTGGTGTATTTTAAATAGATGTAGTTATTAGCCAGCTTTATCTATGTAAATTTTAATATTATTTTTTTCTTGCACACAACTTCTTTCTTCAATAGACGAATCCAACAAATCAAATATCATAAAAATCAGTCCAGCCATTCTTGCGTTATAAATGGTGTAACTAATCCGTTTTTTATATACATATATAGATAGGTAAAGAGAAAACAGTTCAGTACGATTTTCTCCTGTATTTGCCAACTGTGTTTTTAGTAACTGTTGGAAAACTTAAGTACTATCAGTAAAATAAATTGTAAACAGTTTTTTCTATGTACATACAAAGGTAAAAAATAAAAGTAGCCTAACTTACTCCTTATAAGATCAGGTGCCTCTACCAGTGAAAGTCCCGTCAAAATCAGTTCAGGCGTTTCGGAGATTAGCCGATTTTATATTAAGAACAAATAGTTATAACTCGAGAACGGCTGGACCGATTCTTACGATCTTTGTTTTGTTGGATTTGTCTTCACCCGAATAGCAAAATAACTATTAAAACATCAAAAAATTAACGAATTTTTTTTCCATACTAAGCTTCAAAACGTACTTAGGAACGAACCTGAGCGAAGCGAGGGTGAGTCGCTAGTAATATTATAAATACAAAATAAGATCGACATTATTTAGTTTGGCTGCTAGCAACAGAGATTAGCTTTTATCCCGACAAATTAAGCATTTCTAATGAGATATTAGTTTATTACAAAAAGTAGGGAAATGAAGGCGTGTAGTAGTGATATCGGTCGCCGATCTTATGATTTAAAGATATTTTAGTTCTATACAGACGAGGGTGGACGCTAAGATGACAAACTTTTAATTTAAATACGAAGTTTTAAATTGCTCAGTTGCATTACATTGCACCTACACACTTGTCTTGTTACAAATTACAAAAAATATTTACTTATGTATTATAGTCGGTACGTAGATACTTAATAAAAATCTTAAATGCATAGGTACATACATATGTTTATGAACTACCAAACTTTTTCAAACTTTCATAGAGCAGGTACTGGAGGACTGCAGGTAGACTAGGAATGAATTTCTGCTGAGAGGTATATATAACTTGAAAATATATTTTGTTCTCTACACATACACTGAAAATAGTTATATATTTTTTTTTCTCTTACATGGAAACTTCTACATTGCTTTTGACACAAATTGGCACGATAATAATTTATTGCTTGGATATTTTATAGTGTTGTATCACACAAAATAAAAGGGTTCCTCAACCAAAGGAAGTACATCTATAATTCTAGTTATGTATAATTCTAAAAAAATCCAAGACAGGTCATGTCTGTACATTAAAAAGTTTTTCGAATTTTAATTACGTATTTCACAAACTCCTGATAACATTTTTGGTTTTGGCGCGATTTTGCTAAAACCAGTCTTGGTATTTTTTTCTAGGGACTTGGACATATTTTGCAGTAAATATTTTTCTATATGTTAACCCAGTTAGCTGTCACCATACACATATAAACCCGACCAGCAGTTTTCTCGTGTTGAGAAAACAGACAGACAAAATATCTAAAACGTGTTTATTTAGTTCTTAAGATCATAATTCTTTCATTATAACACATAAAAAATTAAAATAAAATAAAAACGTTATAGTAAGTCTGAAAATAACCTACTCCACCTCCACCACCTTTGACCTAACGATGTGAAACTTTTAAGAAATAAACCAAATGTCCCCAAGAGGGAGTCAAATTTGTAGTCGCAGAATTTCATTGAGTTTTAGAGTAATTTATTTTACGTGTTTTAACCAACTTAACAAATGGACTATGGTCGAAATGTGTATACATATTTGTTTTTGTAACTACTTGGTTAGTATTCCGAAGTAGTAACGTTTATTTATATTTTTCAAGATGGGATATATATGTCTTATGAAAAGCTCTTAAAAGCCCATAAACTCATAACTAACTTATTTTATTATTATTGTTTTAAATTACTCTCCCTGAGTTTTTGCTAATTGTCCTCAGGACTGAGAGATTTTGATTTTCGAATTGGTGGTAGATTCAGGATATTCAGTAAAAAAATACAATATACTTTAATAATGAATAGAATATTTTGAATTTAAATTTGGATTGCATTAGCAAAGAGCCACGAAATAATGCAATATATTTCTAAAACAACTGTATATTTGAAACAGATAGTATTAGATGGTTGATTAAACAGTGTCAACGCTAAATTTCCGAATGCTTTGACAGTGCGTTTAGTGCAAATCATTCGCCTGTATCTTTTAGACCATGCACTGTTGGTAATTTCTCGCCCTATCGAACAACATAAATGAAACATTACCGAGATGCGTATGCAAATATCAGATACGTCGGTTTTCCTATATTAATTAATTTCCATTCGATAGATTCGAGTGTGTTTCTAGATAATTTCACTGACCGACTTGTAAAGGCTTCATTATTACATTTTGAATGTTCGTCAATAAAATTGAAATCTATACAGATAAATAGAATTTAAGTGTCTTTTAAAGCCAAAATAACAGTTTGACTAAATGCATATGAAAGTATATACGGCACTTATAAGAAAAACACATACAATTTATTTTAATTTTCTCTGTCTATCTGTCTGTTTGTTCCGGCTTATCGCCCAAAGTACTAGACCGATTTTAATGGGACTTTCACTGGCAGACAAATAGCTAATGTTATAAGAAGTAACTTAGGTTACTTTTATATTTAAAAAAAGAATTGGAGTTCCGCACAAAAAATAAAATAAAACGTGTTAGTTTATAATAAAATATTCAATTTTTTATTATTGCTCTACTTCTTAGTAGAGCTCTGATATCCAGCAAATTGCATTAATAATAGAGACTGTTTGTTCTTACAAAATAAGACGTAGTTACATAGTACTCTGTACTATCTGACAAGTAACTGCCTCGGTGGTGTAGTGGCTAGCATGTACGGCTGCACACTCGGAGGTCCTGGGTTCGAGTCCCGGGTCGGGCCAAGTTTAGTTATTGAGTCTTTCTGTATAGTAAGCCTCAGTAACAGCCAGAAATTGGGAAGTTAGCGGTTACCACCGGAGTATGAGGGAGACAGGAATAGCGAGTGCACTTGTGTCTGCGCGTACACTTGTACACTATAATATCTCCTGCGCAGTTGGCTCGTCTCAATGAGATTGGCCTCCGTGGCCGGAATCAGTCAGGAGAACATCATCATCATTATCATCTGACAAGTATTATCCCACTACTATTTTAAACGATAATAGACTATGACCTAGATTAGGGATATGCTAGTAATAATAATAGCCAAAAAATGGTACTGCCTGCAAAATTAAAGCACTTAGTCAATCTGAGCGAAGCGAAAAAGTCGCATGTGCTTAATAAAACTTCATCATACCCTCAACTCTGGGTCTGCAAGCAAGAAGTTTCATAACAAGAGTGGTCACTCTTAGAACTTCTAAAGAACATTTTTAAAATTGATCCCCTAAACGAGTTAAATAGGGGATGAAAGTTCATCCTAATTGAAGTTAGAAGTATGGAAATTGATGTTAAAGTTGGTGTTTGTTTATATTGCCAATTACAAATCCTATCGGGTAAACTGCTTCTATTAATTTATTTATATAAAAGTTACTAGATTCCGTTTGCAATTTTAAAGAATACTAGTTCCCCCGATTCACTCGCACGGTATACATAACGTACATAACAGAAGAGATTTCTTTGTTATCTCACATGTTTGTAATATATAATAAGTATATACATACATACACACATATATATATATATATATATATACATATACATAGATGCATAGATATATACGTATACATAAATACGTCATGATATCACTGTTTTTTAAATATTTGCAAATTGCCTATGCTTATAATTTTGTCTGTGTAAATGGATAATGTGAGAATATATTTCAAACTCATGCATTATTGTTCACCAAATTAAATGACTATTGGTTAAAAAATGCCATTCAGTGACGAGTTATGGCAAAATTAATAGCGTAAAAAACTCCATGTAAAAATTTGTGTGTCAAAATTTAGAAGCAATGGCTAAAAAAGAGTTTGCAGATTTGCACAAACGAAAATGTAGACTTTTATTTTTATAGATTTCTATTTATGGTTTGAAATACGACAGATAAATATTTATTTTAAGAAAAATTTTCAATTTTCATTAACATTTAGGATATGAGCGAACGCCTACGATGAAATGACAATGAGGGTTTCAGGAAGGGCTTAGGATTTGTGATTTTATAGTAATATTTATTATACTTGAAGATAGGTAACGGATTTTCATTCACAGTTATTTGTATAAAATATTTATTTTGATTTAAAAGATATAAACGTATTGTTATATACGAAATTAAAAAAAAACACCTTTTTACTAGATCTTATCCCCAAACTAAAACGTTTTTAATATACTCTATGTACATAATATGTATTAATAATCTTTTCCGCACAATAACATAAACATTTGGTGTCACGGTGTTTGTGGTCGCACTCCTCCGAAACGGCTCGACCGCATTTATTATTATTCGTACTTATTGGTAGTGAAGTATTTTACACCCTTCTACCCCCATCCCCTATTTTTTATTCGCCAATTTAGTATTTTTATATGAACAATAATATATAAATACTACATATCATACTGTGTAACATGAAACCAAAGAGTTATTTGTAGATTGAACACGGCCGTAGCCGCGGGTTCTGCTAATACTTATATGTTATTATAAGTTACTATTGGTGTATCTACTGTGAAAACGTTATTTCAAAAAGTCGGACAACTGCAACTTAAGCTCGTCCACCGAAGTCTTCATAATATGAAACAAAAAAAATCACTGAGAAACATCCATCTGAATTTTAAAGACATATTATGTACAGATACCCCACCATTTTCATCCCTCAATTATATGTATGGAATGCATTTCCTATTTTGTTATTTGTTGCAATTTGACTACAGAATTGCCTAGTTCTTTAGCGCTTCACATGAGACATCTACATATTTATATATGTATGTATATATTAATACGTGACGAAAAAACTTTGAACCCCTTTTTAAGCATATTGCGTGTACGAAGGAGTATGAGCTTAGGCGTAGATAAAGTTTATATAGAGAAGGACTGGTGAAAGCCAAAATTAATTGACTTTCTTTTACCTGCGAATCCGCTCGCGCATTTTATTTATATATAATTACTTCACAGCCAAAAAATGTAGCATGACGTTAGATAACCTTCATGAATATTATAGAAGTACTTACATAATATAAAGATGAAAAGTTTGTTTGTCTGTACGTGCAAATCTCTGAATCTAAGGGCCCGTTTAAAAATTCTTTTGGATTCTATAGGCTAACTGTATAACTTTAAAAAAAGAACCTCAATATCGATCAAACTTAATGAATTATGGTTGATTTTCAACCACGGGGCGATTACTCTAGTTACCAGAAATATGGGTATAACAGTCTTCGAGTAAATTGTCTGTGACAAACGGACAGACGGACAAAAGGAGAGACCGACATCAAAATTATAAGGATTCTGTCTTAGATATTTAGCTACAGAACCCAAAAAACTATTTTAAAAGACAGTTTATAAAAAGCCATAACAAAAGGCATATTTTAAAATTAGACTGTACATTTTATTTGTATGTTATTACTACATACAAAAGGCGCTTAATTTCAAAACCTCAATATAGAATATTGATATATTTTTAATCAAAAAAAGTTCTATAAGCTACGAATTAAAAACAATAGTGGTATTTATGGCATAAAATGTTTAAAACTAGATAAATAATTACTAACCACCAATAGATTTATATTACCTTAGAACAGTATCTTTCAAGCAATATATTATGTATATTTTTTAATAAGTCGCAAATTACCAGTGGTAGTCCAGTGATAGCGCTCGCCCGCAGACTATGTGAAGCAGGTTCAAATCCCGGTTCTAACACCTGTAATATTCTGATGTGCGAAACATTTTCAACAGTATTACTACCTTACGGTGAAGCAAAACTTTGTGAGGAACTGTGCATGTCTGACAGAATCTAGCTTTTCGAAAGACATGTGAAGTCCACTAAGCGGCATTGGCCAGCGCGGTGGGCAGACAGACAGCGGGTGGAAGTTCATGTCCAGCTATGGGATATTAAAAAAAAGGGCTGCAATACAATACATTTATAAATTGTTCTTCATAAATATTTTTAAATAATACTTTGTTTCTCAAGGGTTATTAATAAATATAAACAAATAAATATGTTGGGACATTAACACACATCACCATATAGTTCCATGGTAAGCTACGAGGCTTGTGTTATGGATACCAGATAATTGATACACTACATACTTATATTTAAATTTAAATATATACATATTATAAATATAAACACCCATGACTGGAGTCCAAACATTCGTG